TGTATTATATTGTAGATAGTAAAGCTTCCCAGTGACACTAACGAAATATCATCAGATCTTGATTTTTTGAAGATGCTATTAGCTTTTTCCGTATTCGGGTTTCCAGATGAGGGCATTTATGTGATATGATAATATATATATATATTACACGGTTGAAGGGTCAATTAAGTTGATTCTGCATTTCCCATGCAACGCTGTCCTCAGTTCATAAAGGATTCGGTACAAGGTAGTCCCTATGAGGAAAGAGTTAGCTATCAGCATATATAACAAAAAATAAAATAAATGGATTAGCCAAACAAACCTATACAATTAGTCCGTAGTCTCTAACCATTTGATAATGCTAGAAGTCTCTTCCCTGACTTACCATAAGCGCCACCCACACACAAGGCCTCAGTAAATATCTCGAAGTACGGGAAATCTGTGCTGTGAGAAATATGTATCAATAGGTGCGTAGAATTACTCGAGCTGGAGACATATCAATATGCTGCCGCCAAATAATTGAGATATACTATCTTCTATCTCCCCTCAACTTTTAACCCATTCAACTTTTTTCTGAAAATGATCGGGACCCTTAGAGAGACCAAAAAACTTTTGATTTATCTTTGTTTTTCATCTTTTGTCCCCTTAATTTTGCCCCACTGAACAGATTTTCAAAAACTACACAGGTTTGTCGTCCCTGGCAGAGAAATAACCTTATGTGGATATTTAGTCATAAGCGGAGCAATGCTTTCCAAGGTATGTATAGACCAACGATTAATGGACCAACAGACCGACACATAGACCATCGGAAACACAAACAAAAGACATAATATCTCATTTACGATATTTGCGCGATTATAACTTCCGCTAGTAGCGTGGAAAGTAAAATTGATGTATTTCTTTTCATTTTCAAGATATTGAAGAAACAGGCCAGTCATTTATATATTGGCCATCCAGTATTTACAAGTAGATATTCAAAACCGGAATAATAAAAAATAAGTAGGTAATTTAGATGTTATTGTCATTCATTTAGATGCTGCGTGATCCTCAAAACAATAAATAATAATAAATTATTATATTGTATAGGTATGTACAGCTTGGAAGAATGACATTTATGCTGCGCCCCAATCCTGGCGGTCTTATTAGCTTTTTGTTCCATACCCGGCCTGGTGACCGAGAGACTGTGTTTGTTTTGACGGTCTAAAAATCTCCTAAATTTGAGGGAAATCTCCCAATATGGCAACTCTGTTGTTTTTTTGTGGTCGCCATTGTGCTGTTCATTTCCCGGATGAAACACTTTGAGCCTTTGTATATTGCAGGGTAGTGATGAAAGTTGGTCAGTCTTTTTTTTGCTTTATACGAACAGTGCAAAAGTACTGTCATCAGCAACAGTATTCCGTTATAGTTGCTTTTTATTAATGCATTTTGTTAGGGAAAAAAGGTGTTTCCTAGAATCCCCAAAAATACCTACAGTACAGACATTAGAGTCCTCGCGAATGCCATTACTGGAGTATGTTGCAGGCACAAGTCAAGCAAATGGTGGTGTAGGTAGTATAAAAAAGCAACTATCGCTAGCACGCCTCAGAACGAATTCTGCATCAACCGCCATCTAACATGATAGAGCTTAACTATTCAGAAGCCCCTGTTCTAGAGAAAAAGTATAGACGAATTTCGCCACGAAGATAAAATTCTTCGAGAGACACCAGAAATTTTGCTGAGCTTCTTGTTGAAGGTCAAAATTCACTTTGTCTCGTATATTAGAAAATATAAAGTACTGGTTTAAGTAGTCTATAGAAGAGTTGTAGAGGATGTCACTGTTCTTAGAATAGACAGCTCACACGAATGACCACAAACATCTAAATAGGTAGTGTCAATTACAGTTTTTGAAATGATGAGCAATTCTGATTAACTCTTTTTTAGATGTTAATTACCACAAGTTATTTAAGTGGTCGGTATAATTTCATATTTCCTGTTGCAAACTCTCTTCTATAAAATTAATTTAGAAATTATAATTTTTTTGAATAAATAATTGACCACTAGAGCTAACTGAACACATAACGTCTTATTTTGAAGGTATATACATGCTCTATAACTTTTGTTTTAAACAGTATAACTAAAAATTCATATTTTTTTGATATATGGAGTAGGGTTATTATTTTCAACTCTGCTGGTTAGTAATAAGCAGCAAAATTTTGTGTAACAACTCTAGATGAACAACCTTTTCACTTACCACTATTGGTGTACTTCTGTTCTGTTGTAAAATGCGTCTATACATTTTTTTTATAAAATTCTGACAGATGAAGTTGCAGGCTACGTAATGAGTATGTCGAAAAGTACCAAACAAATCAGTTTTAATGGCAAATCTTCCAACTAAAATAAATCTGTTATGAAGCTTCTATGATTCATTTATGTCTAAGGCTGACTAAAAACTAGAGCTGCGGTACAATCTCTTCTTGCCATGTTTCACTGTCTCATCCCCCTTTATGTTTCACTTATAAAATTTTCTATCCTACAAGGAATTTTTGTCAGCCATATATTTCTATATCTTCTTTATTTCTTCAACTCCTTTTAACTAACATGCTAAGACTCTTCTTTTGCTCCAGGTTATGATAATAAATGACTGCCGACGGTCTGTTGTAGGCAAAAGTATACAGATCACAATAAGTAAATCACTCGTCTAAAGGCGTTCTAAACATAGCAGTGATGAAAATTTGGAATCTAAGGCCCGTATCGTCAGTCGTCCCTACAAATTGTAGAGCGCGTTTATGGCCTCCTTGATTGTCATAGTTTTCTACTTCTCCGTGCCAGCGCTCTATTTTGAGGTTATGTCACAAACATCTATTTGCATCAAATTGTGGTTGCTTTTGAGTTTTATCCTGTTTTATCAGCCTGAAATTTCCTACAATTTAAAAGGAAAACATATCTTAACAATAGGAGAGCGCTGACGCTGACACGGGACGAGTGTTATCTAGAAATTTTTGAAGGAGAGAAAAGAGTATGACAATCAAGAAGGCCACAGACGAGCCCTACAATTGTAGGGACGACTGACGATACGGGCCTTGTTTACTCTTGAGATATAAACAACAAATTTCGGCTAATAAATAAGAGCTTAAGGGGCAAAACAGCATTTCACATCACAAACCATTTCTTGTAAAAACTTCAACATGTTTTATGAAAAAACTGGATACTCGATAATGACGTGTCTGGAATATTAAATCAATATAGTGAATACCTTGAAAGCAAAAAAATACATAGTAGCTAGTACCTCAGCCAACAACCATTTTAACGGAGAATAAGAAATATCATGCAGATTTTCCCCAACTGGTTGTCCAATCGGAGCACTGTCCGCGTTTATGTCGCTGCCATTGATGTTTTTGCTCACATCGAATTAATTTCTACATCATTTCATGATACCATTATTCCTAGTTGATACTTTATCCGAAAGAGCATGAATAGTATGTATATATGCCGCCATCCAGAACGTGCTAGTAAATATTAAACTATAACCTTAATTTCATGGCTTTTTCAAGGCACGTCGCTGACCGTTCACAAATTTGATCATTTCACAACACAAATTACACTGTGGATGCCTCTAGCATGTTTTTTTGTACTGGATTTATTTCCTTAACAGAAGCTTCCACTTTTTTTTTGTTAAATAATAACATGGACGCCTAAAAAGTTCAAGAGGATTCTAACGTGTCTAATATCCGATTTATTAATTCTAACATTTTCCCATCACATCGATCAATTTGTAAAGGATACAACGGATTTTATACACCGCTTTATAATTATGGACAAACCGCATAGTGAACTACCTCGGTTGTTCTGCTCCGAAGCCAGCAAAGTTGTCAAAACCATCTAAAAAGATTATGGTACTTTTTTGGGGTGCAAAGGGATATTGTTGATAGGAATTAAAACCATAACTGCGGAGCATTATTATAACTTTGTCAGTAAGCTGTCTGTAGAAATTTGGGAGTAAAGACGTGGCTTACAGAGAACAAAATTTGTTTTCATGCGTGAGGACGTCCTTACAGTTGTAGAGACTAGTGTAGAGTGCAGATCTTAGGTCTTCTGTCCTACTGGGTGACTACTGGACTTTTGATGAGGTATACTTCCAATTCCCAAACTCACTCTTAGCAGAAGTACCCCATCACCATTTCACAGTAAATCTACAACAGATATGGTGAAAGACAGACATGACCGCCTGACAGATACTCAAGGCCCCTTGGAGGGCTTACTGCATAAGGGCCTGGCGTAACGATCTTTTTTATTGTTCTGCTCGTACTCTGACGCTACTTCGGTGGGTGCTGCCGCATCTGGCGATATGGCAAGGGGCAATGTTGCTAGCTGGTCGGTAACTACCGGTAGGGCAGTGGAAGAATGTACTCGTATATGGACCATTTGGCTGCGGTGATCCGTTTAATTTGCTTATCGTACATACATACAGGTATATCGTACATTTTTTTAAGCCTTAGCAAATATTTTGGCTTTATGCCATGATTATTGGACCTATGATAACGTATGGATCTGTAGATTAGTGATGAAAAATAATTAAGTAACGCTTACAAAATAATCGTTACAAATGAGTAACTAAATGTAACGAGTCCTACTTTTTGAAAAGGCTCGTTACTTTTTATTTGAATTCGTTACTTTGAATGCGATACGGTCTTTTTCTATGTATACTTTTTAATTACTGTTAGTTACTACACTATACATTACTTTAGATACAAACGTTACTGGGATCAAATGTAGCCAGTACTGCCAGCGCCAGCAGCAAGTGACTTGGTTCTTGGATGTAAACTGGGTGGAAATGAAATGATGCGAATATCGTTAGGCTTAGGCAACTTTAGATACTCTTCTATCAAACGAGTTGCGGACTGCGGAGCTTTAGGTTGGCAATGTTTGTGTACACCTGTACACTTTTCATTTGACTTTGAGAGCTAGCGGTTGGCGGGTTGTTACTGGTTTGGACGTTGCCGTACAAGCTCGAGCAATAATATAATTATTATTTGTACAAAAACATGGAATCATCCGCGTCCGGTTCAGGAGAATCGCAAACTCAAAAAATAAGTGTTATTTGGATGCATTTCATCTATATATCTGAAGCTAATGCAAAGTCTAATCTTTGTAAAAATATTTATTCGCATAAAAATGGAAACATTAGCAATTTAAGGAAGCATTTGAAAACTAAACATCCGACTCTTTCATTGGAAGGAGAAAGGGCAAAACGGCGGGTGGAAGACGAAAATATGCCTAGGTGCAAAAAGAACTTAGTTTCAGGTATGTTTTATTATTATAAGTATTTTGTTGAACACCATTTACAGTGGAGTAACCAGAATGTTAAGTAGGGCAGGGGAGTAACCAGACTGTTAGGGCAGGAGACGCTACTCAACTAAAGTAAAGAGTGAGGAGAATGGTTCCTCCACGGTCCCCATCTGGTTATGCCACTTGTTAAATACTATTTACAGCGTACAGCCAAGGAACCAGACGTCACACAACGACGAGTTTAAAATATAAGTACCTTCTACGTATCAAATATAAAAAAAATTAATAGGCAAGGCATTAAACAAAAAATAATAATTGGATCAATCCCAAAGTAATAATTTGATATAATATGAGTCCCCTATTTCCAAAAGCGGCTAAATCCATATTTACGAAAAATGATGTGGGTGCTGCCATCTCATAGTCAAAGGTTCTAGTAATATACTGTAATACATACTCGTTTCCAAAATGCGGCAAAATCCATATAAATCAGCACACTATTTCAGTCTTATTTTCAAATCCGGCTAAAGCTGATTCGTGTTTTATTACAAAAGTGGCTATATCCTTGGTTTTACCAAAATCGGCTACATCCACTGCTACACCAACTATTATGCTCTTGTTTATGAACAAAACCGGCTAGATCCTGTTGACCTGTGTATTATATAGGATTCAATGCGCTACAAGTAGATGTCTGCTCGCAATGCCTTGAATACAGAGAAATGATCAAAAGAGAGAAAGATTTGCAGGTAAAAAACGATGGTCAAAGTGATGATCATTTGACTGCCAAAAAAACTTAGTATTACCGAAAACTCCTGATCAAATAACATATTACAAAAGGCAACTGTATCTTTACAACTTTACTGTTGTCATAGGTCATAGGATCATCAAAAGTAAAACTTTTAAAAGAAAATGTTTATATCCATACATGGCTTGAAACAGAATGTCATAAGGGATCGAATGAAATCGCCTCAGCGGTTTATGACACTTTAAACAAAATCAAGATTCCTGAGAATGTGAAAGAGATTAGACTGGTATCAGATGGCTGCACTGGGCAGAACAAAAATAGTATTGTTCTGTCTATGTGCGCTAAATGGATGTTAGAAGCTCCGAGCTATATCGAAAAACTGCAATTGATATTTCCGGCCACTGGCCATTCTTTTTTACCTCCAGATCGAGTTTTCGCCTTGATAGAAAAAAAAAATAAAAAACTTGACACAATAGTCAAGCCTGAAACGTTTTATAATATTTTTGAAAACCATGGTACTTTAAAAAAATTGGGACAGGACTGGCATATTCAAAATTGGAAAAAGGAGGCCGCAAATGTCATCAAGTCACCAACCTCACTCCATTTACAAATCAAATCATGAAAGCGGTTGATACTGACTCGTTCAAAAAATCTGCAAATCATGGTAAGGGGTGAACCAAATTACCAGTCTGATGTGAATAAGGCTAAAGGCATCTGCAAAAGAGGGAAGAGGATATCGCTCATGCCCCCAGATCCCCAGAAAACGTTTGTATAAATAACTTGAAAATAAATCCCGAAAAACTAAAGAATGTTGATGAACTTTTGACAAAACATTTTGGAACGGCGTGGAAGCAAAAAATGAAGAATTCGAATTGGAATACTATAAGACTGTTATGGATAATCAACAAAGTTTAACACAAGCAGAAAAAAATGATGATGATAATAGTGTGTGCTTTGCTAATACCGAGTGTAGCTTTGAAGCTGATGTATGATTTTTATTTTCGTTTTTAACAAAAAGGACTTTCTACTTCTCAAGTTGAGTTTTAAGTTGATGTACCCAAAACAGTTTACAAGAAAAAATGTATGATTTTCTTTTTTATTCCTTTTTGTTATCTAATGTTAATACATAAGGAAAGAATTCACACAAACTTCGTTTCAATACCGGGTAAATCCTAAGTTCAAATTCAAACTCGGGTAGATCCATCCCTAGCCCCCCTCCCCTACTGACATATAAAACAAAAAATATGTTTTATTTTTCAAAAATCCTTTATTGTGCTACAGACATTAATATTACGGTATTACTGACTCACAAACTTACAAATAGTAAGAATTACAGTTTTTCGCCTTTTTCTTAATACCTTCAATTTTGGATATAGCCGCTTTTGGAAATAGGGGACTCATATATAGAATGTAGGTTCTAAACGAAATGTCCAAATAGTAACTAAAGTAACGAGTCCAAAGTTCGAAAGTAACGAGTCCTTACAAGTCCTAAAAAGTAACGAAACTTTGCATCACTACTGTAGATTGGTGGAACAAGGCAGCACAAAGAACACTGTCCAAACCAAACTGAGCGCAGTACAGAAAGAAGCTTGTATGCTGATCACTGGTGCCTTTCGTACTACACGAGCTGCAGCTATGGAGATCCTTCTTAATTTTCCCCCGTTGCACATATACCTGGAAAATGGTATAATGCACAATATTACTAAGGCGGAGACGGACCTGCTCAACATCATTCTTTCCATGTGAAGTCCAGAAATTTTCAAAATCATCTGGTGGTTATCTACTCTTGATGGTCACGCGTATGTAAGAGGAAACTGGCTAGTCCGCGTGTGAGCCTTCCATTTGTAATCCGTATACTATGTTGTGAGACGCACGGCCATATAAGCCAAGATTAATGGAGTGAAAAGAAGTACTAGGATACATTGTAGTGTGCGTGCCACACCAGCTGCTGCTCTAGGAGAGAATTATGTAAATGGCGCAACTCTGTGTGTTATTCCAATGCTTTGAGCATTCTAACATTGAAGTAGGTTTGCTCGTACCTATGTCTTTTGATAGTTTAGGCGTTTGTTTCAACAGCTTTGACATTCTAATATCATTATAAGGAGTACTTTTGTTTATCCCATATTATAGTACAGAGGACAGATAAATTTGTTGGCGCATTTTGCAGTTATTAGGGATGTGAAAATTAGAATAATAAAATTGATTCATGAATATTATATTTTTATGTAGAAGTATCAGTTGAGAATTTCAAGTTTTCGGCTGAGTTTCAAAGTGGCAGGCTGCAAATTTAATCGTTTTTGTACCTATAATCGCGTATAATTCAACAACAAATCATTAAAATGCTTTATGTGTTATATTTATATCCTCCCCTTAGGAACATCTATACGAATACGTAATGAAATGTGGAACGTTCCATTTGAAGAATATCAAACTACGTCAATTTTTGAAGGGAATATTCTATCTTTTCACTCCATTGCACATTTAGATTGATACTTCCAAAAGAGGTTCACCGTCCATCAAACCGCCATTTCAAAATACGGCGATTTTATATTCTAAGTACTTACGAGCAGCACCTATAGGTGGGTTATAAAGTAATCCCAAGACGGTACCGCACGGCGTCCACCCGCGATCTTGAAATGTTTAACTGTCACTTCTACAGGAACATACGTGTATGGTATTCGTGCATCAATTGAATCACCCTGAAATTCAGCTTGCCAGCTGAACTCTTTCAAAGATAAGTGGGGATACCTTTTTAAATTCTGTATTATTTTTTCAATAAAAGGTGGGTGTGTATACTCCAGAATAAACATGCACACTCACCATTTATTAACATTGAGTATCTGTTAGGGGCTTCGTACACAAGGCTACGCAAATCTTCGATACTCAACGATTTTAGTCTCCAAGCGATTACCGCCATACAAATCCATTGAGGTTCGTACACGAGTCGCGTCGCCGACATTCGTCTCGCGACTCGCATCATGCCAGTCGTGTGCTACCTGCCGGACAAGATCTTCGCTACATAAGTCGCAGCGATTTCCAGGATGGCCGAGCAGTTATTAAATATTAAATTTGTTTCGGAGGTGGAGAAGTATCCCTGTTTATACAACTATAAAATAAAAGAATATTCTAGAAAGGATATTACAGAAAAAGCGTGGGTATCAGTAGGAAGGGCCGTTAATTTAACAGGTTGGTAGATTTTTATAGTATTAAACATAGTAATTTAGTAAAGAAAAAACACATTTGGCAGTATGTTTTTTATTAAGATTTTTTTACGCGTATACACGATATTTTGTGTACATTTTATTATGATAGCCGATGTTGTAACCCGCCGGATTACCCATGTTATTGTGATCTAGGATCATGATTAGCTACTAACTAGTAATGTACCAGATATCCGTATCCACTAAACCATAAACAGAACACAGGGAATATCTGATGTTAAATTAATAGTTAAAATTAGAAAATAGAACTTGCTACGGTACTTAATGGTGTGTGGTCCAGTAAAATATTTATTTGCATTTACAGAATTTTGTTATTTAAACAGACTAACAAAATTTATACAATACAATTATATTGCCATGGGAGTGCTACCTGAGGTTTAATAAAGTAGTTAGCTAAATAGTTTCTTAACGTATTTGTAGAAGATTGCGCATTCAATTGAATTTGCTGAGGTTGTATTATACCAAGTGTACTATTGGAATTTTCTTCATACGCACGATATGGAAGCCCTTCTCTTTTCCTAACATAGTTGTGTAAAATACATACTGATTTTACAATATTATTAATCTTTATATTGTCGTGGCATCTTATCGCAGTGCTTAGAACCTGAAATTTTTCCGTCATCATCCCAAAAGCGCATTCTACAGTCTTCCTTCCTCTACTCAATCTATAGTTAAATATTCTTTTCGTATTATCAAGTACTCTTTGTGGATATGGCCGTAGCAAATAATGCAATAGCGGAAACGCTTCATCTCCGACAAAGTAAAATGGAAACTTGTAGTTGTTGTCATCATTGGGTAATCGTAAAGAAGTAGGAAGATCAAGATTGTCCCCTTCAATGAAATGTTTGATTGCTGAAGCACGAAATATACCACCATCACTGTTCCTGCCAGCAAATCCTGTTTCAATGTATGTAAAGAGGCCATCAGCGTCACTGCATGCCATGAGAACAACTGAATGATACGACTTGTAGTTGAAGTTAAGCGATCCTGAGTTTGGTAGCTTTTCTATTCTTATGTGCTTTCCATCTAGAGCACCCAAACAATTAGGCAAATTCCATAGTAAATGAAAACGTTGTGCTATTATTTTCCATTGATTTTTATCCGGTGTTGGCATATAAATATCTTTCAAGGCATCCCATATGATTGCTGTTATTTCTCCAATTATTCTTGATACTGTAGAGTCTCCTCGAGCAAAATATAAGGAAATCGATGTGAATGTTGCGCCAGTTGCCAAATACCTAAAAAAAAGTTGTATTAATACTTATTTATTTAACATCTTGTACATAGTATTACAACGGTGAACTTAATGTTAACAGTTGCTTGACATATTTTTATTACTTTCAGGACTGCAAGCGAAAGACAAATGGAAAAACCTCCGTTCTGTATTCGTACGAAACTTAAAACCTGCTGCTAGTGGATCATCAACAAAAGAGAAATACTATTTGACAGTTTCAATGCAGTTTGCTCTTCCTTATATAAAATCTGCTGCAATTCCATCTGGCAGTTTGCCTAATCCGATTAATCAAGACAATGAATCACAAGCATCTACACCGACCGCATCACCACCGCCCTCGGCATCACCACCGCCCTCCGTATCACCATCGCCCTCGGCTTCACCACCGCCCCCGACATCACCTATTACATCCTCCAGTCAACAAACTGAACGTACTCCAACCCCGTTATCTGTCTCAACTTGGCGTAGTTCCTCTCAGCGTCATAAGAATAAAACGAATGAGAATGATGAACTCTTCAATGAATATTTGAAAACGAAAATGAGCAAGCCAAATGTCAATGACGAGTCGACAAAGAATAACGCCAACAAGATGTTTTTGTTAAGTTTGCTGCCAGACTTAAATTCTATGACATCCACACAAATAAGATCATTCAAACGTCAAGTTATAGATGTGATAGATAACATACTGAATGTACCTACCACTTCATCTAAGCAAACGCCGGCGCCGGCCTTAGTTCATATACCAAATACTTCAAGTATATTATCTTCGCAGACATCTCTGTTTGTAGGACCCGAAATACAACACCCAAGTAAATCGTCCTCGCAGGTAACAACTGACATAGAATTACCAATAGAAACCAATAATGATATAATCGAATATACAACCGACGATGGAGTAAATGCAGCTACATATACATATTCAACTACTCCAAAATACTGTAGGTGAAGTAAATTATACTCAGAATTGATGTAGCAGTTAAGATTTCGTGCAGACTTCTGAGGGGTTCCGTTCCGTTATATATTATTAAAATTCAATCTTACTTTGAAATGTTAATATTTAATAAAACAAATTGAAATCATACCTGATTGTTATTAGAATCCTTTCCTCTGCGCTCACACACTCTCTCATGTGTGTATCTCTCTGGTGTATATGTGGAACAAGTAACTCCACTAAATGTGTATAACTCTCTTTGGACATCCTGTACAATGATAAGAATTTCGCATCTGTTTGTTGTAATTCTTTTGCAGCTACAAACAGTCTGCACTTTATGTTTCTCTCTATATACGGATGAACCCAGTATCTTCTGTTACGACGATTTCTTTGTTTCCGATAAAAATAGTACAAAATTATAGTTTCATCATCACTTGTTTCAGACATTTTCGTAAAAGTGTGATCTGTTTAGCCTATAGTGGCTGAATAGGCAATTCGCGTCTTGCGATTCAATGTCGTGTGTACGGACCGTGCGCTACTCGATACTCGCGACTGGATACTAATGTAGTATACATTAGTATCGGAGACTTGCGTAGCCTTGTGTACGAAGCCCCTTAGGGTTACACGCGACTAACTTTTTTTATAAAACCATCACAAAAATATTAAAAAACGTAATTGTGAGTAAGCAATTCAAAGTACTGTCGAATGAATGGAGGCAAGATGCCGTCATTGATTCTCTCTCTATGCCGAACAGACTTGGGTGATTTCCTTGTAACTAATCAAATTTTTGGAATATAAACGAAATATCCAAGCATTATAACCAGTAAACTCTTTATGGAGAAAACTGCTTTGCATTTCTCAATAAGATATTTAATACTGAGTGAGAAAAAAGGTAAACACTTACGTATCTTTTTTAGAATTCAAGAATTTTTTACATATCGATTTATCTTGCCTTGAACAACAAGTAATAAAATGGTCAGGTTTTTCTGTTAATGGTTTGTGGTGGCTGCGTGTATTGTTTGCTGATAAAGAAGCACTCAGTTTTCGTACATTTACGGTGCCAGTTTGATGGTAAATTCCGTGTGGCTCACTGATTTCTCAAAATGCCTAGAGTGCGTAGAATTCGCCAGGTGACTCTGAAAAGGGTCGAATTGTCGGATTGCGTGAAGCCGGTCTATCGATAAGAGAAGTTTCAAGGAGGACCTTACGGAGTATTCAGCAGTGTGAACGAGCGTGGACTCAGAGAGGCCGAGGTCAGCGAGCGAGGGGATCTGGACGTCCCAGAGGGACCACAGGGCGACAAGACCGCCGGTTAAGACTTCTGGCTCCGAGACACAGATTCAGTAGTAATCGAGCCAACGCTAATCAGTGGCTTGAAGAGCATGGAAGGATGGTTCGTATAGGTATGGTATATCGCCAAATACGACAGTTTGGCCTTTTTTCTGATCGCGCACATTGGTGCTACCTCTCACAGCTGAACATCGGCGTAACCGTCTGCTGTGGTGACCGGAAATGGAATCAGCTGGTCTTTAGTGACGAATCTCGCTTCTGTCTGTGGATGCACGTAACCCAAAATTTGACAGAGAGCGTCACGTTCACCACACCGTGCGAGTTATGATATGGGGTGTTATTGTTTATGGTAGCTGATCACCACTAATTTTCATCAGAGGCTCTATGACAGGCCAACGCTATATTCACTAAGTAGTGGAGCCTCCAAGGACTTTAGCAGCTCTTACTCAAGAAGTTGCAGTAGCCTAGAATGAGATACCCCAACAGGATATCGACCACCTTATCAGCACGATGCCCAGACGTGTCAATGAGTGTATAAGAAATCGTCGATCCTCAACACATTATTGAACTAGCTTTTGCAGTCAGTTGACGAGTCAAGCTGAAAATTTAATCACTTTACTAGTAAAGGACACTGAACATATATGCCAAAAATTATTAAAATCGGATAAACATACGTAGATGTTTACATTTTTTGTCACTCGGTATATATAAAAAATGCGACGATGTTTTTGAAAGAATTGAAAAACAGTTTTGGTTTAATTGAATTTGATATTTTCGATCAACTGGCTACACACACACAAGCGAAAGATGCTATGGCGTTAAAGAATCAAGCAAAATCATTTATAGGCTATTCTATAAAATGAGAAGGTGGATTTGTCTGGAGTAGGGCGTACTTAGCATAGTTGGCAGAAGCGCTGTGCCAGGCGCTACGTCAGATGAAATGAAAGACAATTCCAAGTAATATGTAAAATGATGGTTTTTGACCTTACATACATGCGCTTTTCTTGCAAATGGAGCCCCATACGCAATCATCATGTCCGTCCTTTTGCTGACACCTCAAAGACAAATCAGTTTTGCTAGGATTGATCACGTATTTTTCACATAGCAATGGAGATACCTTAATGATATGTACTTATTTTAATGATGCTTTCTGTTCAAATGTCAATGTATTTGCTCGCTGGATAAAATATTGGCAATCGCAAACATATTACTATTTTTCTTTGTTGTAATCGCACATTTACCTCTTAAACGTATGGAGTACCGGGCGATGCAGTGTTAAAATATTATATGACTTCAACTCAACTTCGATTGTCCAAGTTTTCATCTGCTTTACCTTGTGTGGGGTAATTTAAAATGCAAAATATTCGTTTTGTTCCTTTATACCTGTTACTTTTTAGTAGATATCAGTTTTTCATTAATAAAATTTGAATTTAGCAACTTTTTTTATAAAGTGATCAAATCACTACTACATTGTCTTGCAGCAGCACTGTTAAGTTTGAATAGAAAAGGCTTCGAGTACTACACCTTTTCAAATAGAATAGAATAAACTAAACAAGACAGAACATACATTTTATTTACTTCTGAGATTCAAATTAAACCCGTAGCTGACACAAGAGACCTTGTTCGCCCACACCTTTACCTATCTGCCTATCAGATCATCGTTTATTGGCACTCATAAAAATACTTACAGATGAAGCACAGCGAGTCCTGTAGCTTGCTTTCCAAGCAATACCCACTTTTTGATCAAGGATGTACAAATTAATAATTATACAGGAAGTACTTTTAAGTTTTGATAGTTATTTCTGAGTTCTACGTTCTCTATTTGCAATTGTTAACCCAGATATTAATACGAGAAGTTGTATTCTGACTTCATCTCATCGCGCGAGCTGAAGCTAACCTTTTACCAGATTCAGCTTCGCTGTCGTTACGGTGCGAGTCGGCTCTCGGCTCGGTAGGCGCTGAAGCTTACAAATGAACTGCCGCAATATTTCATATTCTCGAATCCGCGACGAATAATCTCTTTCTGGCAGATTTTCATTCACGCTGCCTCTGCCGTCGGGAACGTAGCATATACCACACTAAGCAGCAACGTGACTCTCTAAAAATTACTGCGGGGTATACCTTTCACTAGACTGAAACTCTCTGCAGCCAAAGTTAATATGGGCTGCTGAGATGTTCTGCATAATAAAACGGATGGGCGAATTCTTCATCACAGTATATTCTTAGCTTAAACGCTAGAACGAATCAGAAAACAACTAAGATCATCAAGAACACCATTTTATACTCGTGCTCCCAGAGAAAAGCGGAAATAGCTGAATGATAGGTAGTATGGGACGATAAAAATAAAAAATTGTAAACTAATTTTTTAGGGATCTATCAAAACACGCCAAATATTTAATATTACGTACCTTAAACACTGTTGAACCTATTTTATCGACACTTTGTATGATTCTTAACTTTCCTAGGAGCGACCTTGAACTGATATAAAAAGCATTTTTTTGTATGTTATCACGGTTAACGCCTTTTAAACTGAATACCTATTGAATTGTTTCACCACTTGCAAAAAAGTCATGAATGGGTGCCCGTTAATAAGTAACATGTGTGTTTATAAACACACTTTCCAGCCGAAAAATGATAATTTTCAGCTGGTTTTTCAACCATTACCATGCGTAGCGTCTTTCTGACATTGCGAGGCCTATAACTTGAAAACGGTCAACTTTAGAGAACAGTTACTACGGACATTTTTTGTTCAAAGTGATCTGGAAGTCATAAGAAAAACTTTGCAGCGAAAAAGTCATACACCTGGTTGCATACCAACATTTGAGAAAATGCTCTGCTATTTAAAGAACAACTATTTTGAGAATCAATATTTTTGAGGTTGCCAGGTGTTTAGATTGAAGATGAAACTTCGCCTTATAAGACTCAAAAGAGTATTTTAGGCCCGTATCGCCAGTCGTTCCTACAATTATAGGGCGCCTTTATCGCCTCCTTGATTGTCATAGTTTTCTACTTCTCCGTGTCAGAACTCTATTTTGAGGTTATGTCACAAACATCTATTTGCATCAAATTGTGCTTGCTTTTGAGTTATATCATGTTTTATCAGCCTGAAATTTCCTACAATTTAAAAAGAAAACATATCTTCAGAATAGGAGAGCGCTGACGCTGACACGGGACAAGTGTAATCTAGACATTTTTGAAGGAGAGAAAGAAGTATGACAATCAAGGAGGCCATAAACGCGCCCTGCAATTGTAGGGACGACTGACGATACGGGCTTAGGCTTAGAAGATCTTATATTTTCCTTGTTTGGAATGCTAATAAGAGGCGGGCTTTCGAATTTCACAAACTGCACATATTAACCTGCATTTTATATAAAACATTTAATTGATTGTATATTATACATTGGTTGTTTTATTAATGAGATTCCTTCTGGTTTTTCTAGCGAAGTAACTAGTGGTTTCAATGTCTTAGAAAAACAGGTTGCATTTTGTAAAAAGCTGGGCTCATCTCAGCCACATAGAAAATGGGCGGGCCCAAAGTACGTCGTTAGTCTAAGTAACTGTAGAATTCAGCTTTATAGATGAAAATACACGAAGTCCTTCTACTTCTTATAGAAAAAAGAGGCGTGCAACTACGGTCATTAGTCTAAGTAGCGCTACTTAGCTAAGTGACCGGTTTCTTAGCTAAGAAGCCAACTCTCTAAGAAGCTACGTCATATACAAACGAG